AAAGCCTTCCATGTAGGTGTCCTCAGGGATGTCAGATGCTCCAGAGCTCCCATCCCCTAGCTGAGAAGGCCTGAGGGCATGGAGCACTGCTTGAACAGCAGCCTCCTGATGGGCATCCTTGACAAGTGCCTTCTGTGTCTAAGCTTGTAGGCCTTAGGGTTGGGGCGGGGGGTTGGGGCTTAGACAAACAGAAATGTGCAGAGATGTAGACAGAAGCAAACATTCTGCTCTGGGGCCGTGCTCTGAGGGAAACCAGTCCTGCTGCTGCATGTGGCTATCTCTGTGGGAGCTCTCTGAGCCTGCTCCCGCCATGTGTGACTGAGCTTCTGACCTGACAGGAGCTTTGGTTAGTTACTTCTAATGGAGGGAGGGACAGATTGAGCCTTCCTCAAGAAAGGTATAGGTGTAATACTGAAAAGAGTGTAAGGAGGTGAGGAAGAGTTGGGAGGGAATAAGAGGATGAGATAGCCATATTTGCTGTATGCATTTCAGATGACCACGCGGAGGCTGAATGCAAAGCAGAAGGTCGCGTGACAGACACCACTTTGCAATAAGGAGGCGCTTTGAAGTCATCATATATCAAAGTCATAAATTGCAATGCTCTTAAGAGTTATCTTGAAGGAAAGCCTATAATAGTTACAAGAAAAACCCTCCAGATTTACAAGCCAAATAAAATCCAAATTTGGGGGGAGGGGGAAAATCATAGATTTACAAGCCAAATAAAATCCAAATTTGAGAGGGGAAAAAAAAAACCAATCATGGAATCATAGAAAGGAGGGCAAGGAGAGACTTAAGAGGTCAACCAGACCATACTGCTGCCTGAAGTCAGGATGATCTCTGCTTAAGCCATTCTTGATGGATGTGTGCCTAATCTGTTCTTAAACCTTCAGTGGTGGAGATTACCCATCTCCCCAGGCAATCTCTTCCAGTGCTTAATTATCCTTACTGTTAGGAATGCTTTCCTCTTGCTTAGCCAACATTTCCCCTGTTACAATTTAAGCTTATTGCTTCTTTTCCTATCTGCAGTAGATGTAGAGAATTGTTTATTGCCTGCTGCACTGTATTTGGAGACTGTGGTCTCTTCTCGGTCTTCTCACCTCCTAACTAAATAAACCAAGTTTTTCAGCTCTCTTTGTGATGACCTTTACTACACCTTTCATCTCTACCCTGGACTGCCTTGGATTGGTCCTTCTCTTTTTCTGAAGCAAAATGCCCAAAACTCAATGTAGGCTTCCAGCTAAGGCCTTTTCACTTGGGATCGGTTGACTTTGTCCTTGTAAAATCAAGGCAAACCCTTGGTATAGTAGGAGAGTGGGTTTTGGGAGAGCTTGAGTTCCTTTCATCCTTCTCCTGGATTAGTAAGCAATGTTCCTTTTAAAGCAGGCAGGCTGGGAAGCAGAGGTTACTGATAACAGCTACTCCTGTCATTCTGTGTCTACACGACACAGAGCAGATCCGTGGGCGTCAGCAGGGTTTGGAATAATTGTCTTCTCTAATTAACTGGTTATCAAACAAGAACATTTCATTATGGTACAATTACTAGCTCCTTTGCTGAGACACAGAGGTGTCAGGATTACGATCCCAACATATGCTTCTTACAGCTCTGATTTTTTGTTTTCATAATCACTAACCATTTTTGCTCCCCCCCACCCCACCCACTCCTTTAATGACTAATGAATCCTCCTGCTTGTGAATAAGAAAAATAAATCAGCGGGCATGGCAGGTTAGAAAGGAAAACATGCAAAATGTTTTGAGGATCTTTAAATCTGATAAATTACTTTGAAATTAAAATCCCTGTGAGAAAATATGATTTAATTAGAAAGTAACATGGTTTTGTCAATGTTTAAATTAAAATTTTAAAAGGTTATAAATACTGCTCTAAAGCTTCTTGTACACAGAGGATTCGTGAGAGGTTCTACTAGGATCTGCTGTTCGCATGCAAGCCCTGTGTTTGCAAAATGAGGGGCTGCATTTTAGTTGTTAAAGGTCTTGGAGGCAGCACTTTGTGGGTGCAGAAAGCCTCCCCGTGCTCCGGGGAAGACTGGAGAAGTCTTGTGATGAGAAACCTAGTGATGGCCCCAAAAGAGATAGACCACATCTGGCTTGGGAATACTCCGAGCTGGAAATAGTTGGATTTGGGAGAGAACTGGAGGAAACCTAGCATGGGCCTGCCCTGCTCCTCCCCATGGGCAGCACCAGAGGCCAGGGCTGGCATGGGAAGCTGCGGCAGGAAGCATTGGGCTGGCTGCGGCACTCCCAGGCCCTCCAGCTCCAGCTGCTCAATATCAAGTGACCAAGGCTGGTCACTCTTTAAAAAAGACAAGACATGGACAGACAAAAGATGGAAAAAAGGATGTAACACAGAAGATAAGCAGCTGCAATGGTGATAGGTACAACATTTATTTATTTATTTATTTACTTGCATTTAGGTTAAGCAAGTTTAATTAACCTTCCTTCTCACTGTCCACAGTCATAAATTGCTGATTTTCTCTAGGCAAGCCTTCTTTGTGACTGAATTTGTGTCCACATTGCTGTTGAATACGTTGATTTCCTACTGTCTTAAGCAAAAAAAAAATCCACTCTTGGTATTTTGCTATTATGGAGGAAAAAACCAAATATGTTTCAATTCATCAGTACCTAGACATGGCCATTGTTATACTGGCCTGAGACAGAGGAATTCATATTTCATTGTCGTGCAGACATCAAATACCGCATGTAAGAACATCTGTTATAAGTAGAGCTGATTGAAAATCCACATTTCTGTTTTTCTGTAAATGCTGTAGCAGTAGTATTGGTGTAGCTGTGATGGTCTAAGGACATAAGTGAAGCAGGATTGTAGAGAAAGGAAATAGCTTTTATTAGGGCAGCTGCTACAGTTTGAAGAAATAGTTGCTTTTCACAGGCAAACTCTTCTTCAGGTTGACATTTCAAAATGTAATTTTGTTCTGAATGGAACAAATATAATACTTCCTAAAGACTATAAAGCAAAGACATATGTATGAAAACATTCTGTTTTAGACAATTACCACTTGAGAGTTTCAGTGTGTCAAATCAAAATGTTCCATTACAGGACTCCTCTCTGATTTAGCAATGGAAATAAGATTCTTCAGTCAATTTTTAATAGCATTTATCTGTAATGATTTAAAATTTAAATTCGAATAACTGGAGAGCTTAACTGCTGGAACATCATTTTTTATTCGGGTGTCAGTAATAGAAGGGAATGTTAGGTGCTACCATGGCAGGTGCCATGAGATGGTGCCAAACTGAAAAAAAAGTGACATGAAAACAATGTTAAATACAATTTCGGCAAGGAAAGGGGCTTGCTTGGAGCAGGTTTTAACTGTTCATCTCAGAGCCAGGTGCAGCATGCATGGTACCACTGCCCAGGCCCATAACCCTCGAGCACAGCCCTAGGATGGGGCACGGGGCAGCACAGAGGCCCCAGGAGTTGGTGGGACGGCCCTGGGCAGGGCCATGCTTTTGCTAGTGCCAATCTGTCCTGTGACTCTGCTCGGCAGCCAGGACACCCATGGTGCAGAGGGAGCCGGAGCTGGGGGTGCGCCAGTCCTGGCTGACCCCCCCTTACCAAAAATTTAGGGATGCTGGTAGTCCCTCCGCTTGCACAGTTGGTCTCCAAGGTATGCCATCTGCAGGGAAATTTGCAGCAGGAAGTAGCTAAAAATCCCTGCTAGACTTCAAGTATTGATTGTTGTAAAGCTGTTGTTGTTTTTAAAGCAGAATTAAATGTATGCAAATCTCTTCTAATTGAAATTAACTTTATTTGCTCTGCTTGATGAGGGCTTTGACTTTCCAGAACAGGAGAGGGCTGGTGGGTGTTTTTTCAGGAGTTTCTTCCTTTTGCTGAAATTTTTGTTCCATTTTAAAATATTCTTCTCACTTGCTCAGTTTAATCTGTTTTACCCCATGGGGAATCATTCTGCTTGAGACAGGCTGGATTACTGTGTTATTTTTACATACATGAGGGACCAAACTCTGGGCAAAAATGAGACCAGCACTATGAATCTATAGAGAAGCATATCTCATTACAGGGGAGAGAATGAAGAATAAACAATAACTCACTCTTACAAAGTTTTTTTTTTTTCTTGAGTAGCAAACTCCCCTGATATTTACTGTTTCTGTGTAAGCCCCAGCTCCCAGAGTCATAAGATTAGGCAAAAATCTCTGCTTTTATGTGCCAAGGGAAAGGTCTTCCCAGCTGTCAGAATTGCAGAGAAAAGCTGGAGAATGTGAGCTCTAAAGGCTTAATAACTGAAAGGCCAAGAAAACTCATCTATAGTTTAGGATTTTGGAATGTCTCACAATTTTTTAAGCCAATCTCACCATTTAGAGATTTTGACCCATGTCTTGTATGTGCTCTTACAAGAACCTGGATCAGACTCTTTCCTTATTCCTATCAGGAAGTGATTTCATTGATTTCACCCTATAAAAGTCATGTCGGTTCCTGCTCGCCCATAGACAAACGCTCACCACCAAGACGTCACCCTATATTTTGGTGAAATGATGGCTTGTTGTCACAGGCCAGCAACTTCGTGTTTGAGGCTGTGATCTCTGCGCACGGCACGGGGGAGCAGGACCTTTCAGGGGTGGCGTTTTCTGGCATTTCTGGTCCATGGCTTGTCTGGTGGCCCCAAGAGTTCTGGACGTATCAACTTGCCCATGTGTGAGGTTCTCCTTAGTTATTCTATCAGGGGACATCTCTTGTGGCAGACATGCATAAATATCTCTCTAGACACCCAGACAACGCTCAGCTCTGGATTGCAATGTCTCTAAATTCTCCAGGTTGTTCATATCCAAGGGCTTTATTTGGGGTAAATTTCTATCCTATCAGTGGACATGAGTTTTTTTGTGCCCAGCTATGTTTTAAGGCCATAAGGTCACCTTGCAGACAGGAGGCTCCCACGGAGAAGACAGTGTGCAGCAAAGCCAAGCAGTACCCTAGTTTGCTTTATTAATTATTATTCATTGTTTGGTCCTTTCAGGCATATAAGAGGAAAACAGAAGCAGCGAAGAAGGAGTATCTAAAAGCCCTGGCAGCCTACCGGGCCAGCTTGGTTTCCAAGGTAACAGACAATGTGTTTCATACATGAGTCTCTCTGGATGTGGCAATGATAAATTAGTTGCAACTCTTGGGAATCTCTGGGGAGGAGCAAGTTTATAAGACATACACTATAACCGTGCTATCAAAACTAATATCAATGTTAACTACCTTCCGTAGGAGCTAAATGAAATGCTCCGTGGCGTGGTTTGAGCCAACACAGCGCCCGTGAGCACCAGAATTGCTTTTTCCCCCTTTAACAAACCAAAACAAGATCTCGTTTTTCGCAACATGTCACGGCACTGGGAAGCTGGGAGGCTGGGCGCGTGCCAGCCCTCCTGCCGTTGGGTTCCCCACGCGGCCACCCCAGTGCCGGCTCTAGGGTGCGCATCTGGATGGGCTCCTCTTCTGTCGCCGGCTCCAGGGATTCAATTCCTTCCACTGCCAGGGTATCTTGAAATGGTAATATGAGAACTCTGCCCTTCTAGCATATTGATATCAGCTTTCATTGACCTGAGCGCTGTCATCCTTCCTTTAGACGTGGAAGAAAGAGAAGGGAGAAGGAATTTGTCCTTAGCATTTTTAAGAACAAGCTGCGGAGGGAAGCCTGATTCCTGGTTTCCCGTAGTGCTGAAAAACCTCGTGTTCACCGTATGTCTTCATCAGGCAGCGTCAGAGCAGCCAAGGGATCTCTCTGCTTGGGGCTCAAAGGAATATCTGCTCCCACGACCTGCTGCACAGTAGTGGCTCCCTCCCTGTGGCTGTCCAAGTGTGAGTGCAGCAAACATGGCAGGCACCCAGCAAAGGCTGGAAGGCAGGTCCCCTCTGCCTGCGGTGGCACTGGGACTGGCCCACCTGGAGATGACGCCACTACTCACAGCTCCTCTTGCATGCGCCACGAATGCAAGGGACACCAAAGTATCTGTACATGCCTGAGTGCTCTACACTGAGTTTGGACTGGGCATGGAATAGCAGAGCAAGCCCATCTGTCCTTTCCCAGTCTTCCCAGTCACGTTTCTTTTCGCCAGTACAAAGACCTTGTGCAGCACTCAGCTTCCCTCTCAGTCCCACTCCTTTTGCTTGCTGTCTGCTCTGGTTCTCTTGTCTCCTGTTGCAGCCCCCAGGACAGACCTTGCTTTCCAGACAGCTAGACATCCCTCTTGCGTATGTAGCCTTCCACAATGTGAAGACTAGGCTTAGTCACGCTCCTCCTGCCCTGGGACACATGGCAGAGTCACACTGCTCCCTTGGCCATGGGTTCTCTCGCCAACCTAGAGCTATCAGCTTTGCTAAGCTTGCAGGCCTGGGGCTGTGGAGCAACCAGGCCCCAGCATCCTACCTCCTGCCATAGTCTACGCACATATGTTGTTTCGGAGCATGGTTCGTGATTCCAGCTCTGTGGGGGCACCCAGGAACGGGAAAGGGGCTAGGATCACATCCAGTGTGGTGAAAGTTGGTGTGATGGACCTGCTCATGGTATCACGCTGGAAGGAGCAGTGCAGGCTTTATGCACCAGCTTGGTGAGCGTGCAAGACAAGTTAGCCTGAGAAGGGATTTTCCTGTGTCCTGCAGCTATGATGGGTTTGCTGAACAGGGCTGGGACCTCTCTCTTTAGATGGAAGAGCCTGTACTTTTTCATCACGAAACAGCTAATCTGTCCTCCCTGCTCTGAGTCATCTTTGCAATTTCTACTGAGCGCTGCAGTCAAGCTGTTCACTTCTGTGTGAGCAAATGGGTTAGTGGGTTAGTTTTACCTTCTGACTGAAAGCAAAAACCAGGACTGTATCTGAGGAAGGGCAAAGAAGAAGGAGGGGAGACAGTAAAGGTCCCCACCTCTCCTGGACCATGAGCTCCAAGAGAGCAGCAAGATGTTAGAGCCAACAGCTTGACAGCTCATATGGCTGCCTCCTGCCTGCCTTATTCCTTCACAGCTTTACTCCTCAAACCTGCTTCTTGTTGCTGCCCACACATTCAGCTTTCGCTTTCACACTGAGACGCGGGGAGGAAGGAGTCAGGGTCTCAGATGATAAGACCGTCTCAGTTGGAGCAATCCCCAGGCACCTGCCATCGAGCTTGTGTCAGTACTGGGCTGCTGCCAGTATCTTGGGGTGTCTTGGGCAGAGTGGTGGACTGGCTCTGCTACGTTTGGCCACGTGCAGGCCCACAGACCCAGTGAGCCTTCGTGGGTTTTCAGCATGCCCACAGCTCCTGGGCACGCTCAGAGCAGTGCTGATGCTCCCTGGGAGCTCTGGGTGGCAGAACGGGACTCAGGCATTTAAATGAGGCACCTAGTTCTTGCTCCCTGAATGTGCTGGGAAGTCCCTTCCACAGTTAGCTGTTTGGTTGCCATTGCTGGTCTCGCTGCCCTCCCTTTTCTGAACCAGGCTGGCATGTATTTCCTGTGTCCAGGGCTCTAGCAGAAGCACAGTTCATATCCTACATGCACCTCAGTCACATAGACAGCACTGGAGGAGCCACAGCCCGATTGCTTCTGGCTCAAACATGTGGCCTTGGCTGAAGAGCTTTGGAGGGCCTGACCACACGCCTTGCCTGGAAAATGGGGCTGTGGAGGGAGTTCACTCTGCTCCCCTCCGCGACGCTTGGCTGCCCGATATTTGGCAAGGCAGCAAAGTCCGGAGGACACCGTCCCAAGAAATGCGCTGGCCCATCCTGGGTCCCACCTGGGGTGGTGGGACAAGGCTTCCCTGGCAAGCAGGGAGCAGCCCTGCCAATGGGTGGCACACGAACTGCCAGCCAGGCTGCACTGCATGAAGCAGAGTCCTCGCCGAGCCAGCTGTGCCATTCCCACTGCATGGGGTCACACTGAATTGTAAAAGTGAGCCAAATCACTTAAAAGGGAATGTAATTACTGGGGAGATAAACATGAGCTTCGTGCTCTGGACAGCATCCTCAGAAGCCTTACCTACCTCAGCCGCACTTGAAGGTTAACTGCTGTGGCAAAAAGGTCAAAAAGGAAATAATCTAAGTCACTTTCATTGGGTTAAGCGTTTAAAAAGATTCATAACTGCACTGATGGATGTAGGGCTAGCTTTACTGGATATTCTAATATTGGTATTCTGCTCGTGCTTCATATAATACAGAGATGCGGTATCTCCACGTACAGCCAGGAAATGGTAATCACTGTTGTGGAGGGTTTATAGCAAGAGTTTTAAAGGGTGACTTTCATATTTAAATAGTCTTGGAAGTGAAAACCTTTACGGGCAGAGAAGTTTATTTCTGCAAGGAGAAGCCTCTGAACTGCCTACTGTGCAGACAGCTCAGTGAGTCGAGGCAGGGAGATGACATGCAAGCAGGGAGAGTGTGGCGCGCGAGTCCCTCTGACAAGGCTTTGGGGTTGTGCCCTCATCCCCCAGGCCACAAGCCCCTGAGCCTCCCCGGCCTTTGGGAGGACAGTCACCAGTAAACCTCTGTGTACCCAGTGAGTCCCAGTGATTCCCTGTAATGCCTCCCCTTTCCTAGCCTGGACGTACTCATTCTCTCCATAACCAGACTAGCAAGGTACCTGATATCTCTGCTGGTGGCAGTTTGTCTCAGTTAGGGTCTAGTACTCGTGCTGGCAGGATTCTCCACATACCTGCTCAGGATTGTGGGTTCTGCTTCTCCCTTGCAAAGTGAGCCTAGAGAGGGGTTTTTCGATAAGTAACGTCTATAATTGTGGGTTATTGGGAATGTGGACGTATACACGCAAAATGCACTGTTGTCCAGTCAAAATCCCGTGCCCACTTCAGCAGCTAATAGTGAACTTAAAAGGATTTCATGTACCTGCTGCCCCTTGAGGCAGTGATGATGGGCTAAGTGCCAGCCTTGCACAGCCCGGATCTGCAAAACATAGACACCCCATCCTGGGGAGACCTTGCCCCTTGCCCACCTCCATCCCCTCTCTGGGCTCCAGAGAAGAGGCACAGACATTTTTTGCTGGCAAATTTGGAGTGACTCCTGTGAAGTTCGTGGGCTTCTTGGCCAGGAGGGGATGTGCTGCTTTTGGCTTAAGGCATTAGGCTAAGCCACTGCCTTTGAGGCACTCCAGTGCCTGAGCTGGAGGTACCTCGGGAGACGTTGAGACTCACTTGCAATCAGTGATGCTTTGAAATCATCAGCACAGTGACGGATAGCACTTGGGGATCCTATGAACATGCGCATACACGCATACATACCTATGGGTTGTGAGTATGAGTATTAGGTTGTTTTCCTCTGCAAGATAAGCTTCTTCACCTTGACTCTATACCTTATTTGCAATACTTAATCATCACATTTGGTTACCACCATCTGCAGGATCCATGAGTATATGCTGGGGGGCCTGAAAGGCACAAAGCTTTTGTACAAGCATAAGTACCACAGCTGTCTGAACTGGCAAACAGAAGAGCAGCAAGGGGAGACTTTTGAAAAGGGGATGGAAGGGACTGGTTTTCATAAGATGGACTTAAAAGGTCTTCCTGGTCTCTGTGGAAACCTGTGAAGGTCCTTCCCTGGACACCTATTGCCACACTATGGGGTAGTTAGCATGGAGGGCGTGGAGTCGCAGCACAGTTTCCAAGATTTGCTTGCAGTGAAATGCTTTACTGAAGGCAAGCCGAGGGGTAGAGGCTTCTGCACTGCAGGTGGAAGATATTAGTGCCATGTGTGTGCCTCGGCTGCATCAGAAAGTTGATTTTGGGAAATACTGAGTATCAACAGCTCTGATTGAAGATGCTGAGGGGGTTGTAGTTGCTCTGTCCCTTGGAGAGGCATCCAATTTAAAAAGCACCCCTGTAGTTTCATAGCCCCCTTGCCAGGATCTGGCACTCCTGGGACTCTTGTGTGTCTGCAGAAGTAACCAGTGGCAGCATCCTAAGAAAGAACTAGTTCTGGGGCAGCGAGGAGGAAAGTTGGAGGTTGCCCTGAGCTGGCAATTGGACATGCAGAGAGTGGGGAAAAGGCTTGTAGGAGGGGAATAGCTGGTGTTTGCCTGTTCTCATTACTGATCTAATTATCTTCTGGGATGGATGACGTGAGTTGATAGTGAAGGTTTTATTTTTTCCAGTTTCTTCAATGATCAGTTCTTTGCAGAAGTGCCACTTTGTTTTGAGTAAAACAGCACAGTGTATTCCCTGCTGCTGGATGAGAAAAGGATCCTGAGTACAGAGTTACAGAGCCCACCTGAGGGAAAAAAACTCATTGTCCAAGCCAGAAAATGTCCTGTTGTTCTTTTCTTTTTCCTGCGAAAATGAGGCCATCATTGTGTTGTACATTACAGAACCCCATCCAGACTACAGGAATGCACAAGATGATTAAAAAAGCAGAATTTTTCAATCCCATTTGTTCTTTATTGGAAGAGAACATGATTCTGTCACCCACCTATTTGGACCTAAGGAATGAACTGTAGGCAGGCAGTTTGCCTCCATGCTGTTTAATGCTTCTCTTGTGCTCCAGTCTCTGCTGAATCCACAGCTCAGTTACTGGACTTTAATTTCCAGGGTCTGGATATTGCAGCCAGCCTGCTTTAACATAACTAGACATAGCAGTGCAAGTGCCTGCACAGACCTGGGTGGGATGAGAGCAGGAACTACAGGGAGTCTGGAGTAGCTCAAACACAGGAGAGCAGAGCCAGTGTGGAGGCACTGGCCAGAGGAAAGAGGGGAAGAGCATATACTGGCCCTGGTCTATGCATCTGAAGGAAGACTGGGTCTATTATAAGGAGGAAAGGGGATCGGGGAGTAGGTTTCGGCACTGTGGTCGGCACAAGCTCCATGTGGGCCTCTCTCTGCAAATCTCTGCTTCTCACTTATTCTTACAAGCTTTGTCTGCATGACTGAAAAGGAACGACACCTGAGGACAGACAGTGATGTTTCCTTCCTCATTCAGCCTCTGTTCTCTTTTCCCACAGAGCTCTGCCGACCAGGGTGAGACGAAAAGTGCCCAAACCAATCAACCTTCGAAAATGATCCCACCAAAACAGCCCATGTATACCATGCCACCACAGGCCTCATCACCCTATCCTGGGTTAGGCTCGTTCCTGTCCCCATCCGATCTCCAGAACTACCGCGGACATCCCCATCCCAGCCTCTCCAGGACCCTCAACTCCAAACCCATGTTGCCCAGCATCAGTGCCTCCCCGCCTCCGTCTTTTCAAATCAGCCCTCCACTCCACCAGCAGCTGTCCTTGCACCATCCACAGAGCTCCATCCTCAACCAGTCACTCAACATGCAGCAGGTCCCACAGCAATCCATCCTGTCTCCTCCCATGGCACTACAGGTACAGCCCCCAATGAATTCTTCACCTCCAGGGCAGCAGGTAAGTGCTCTGGCTCCTAGGTACTGCTCTAAGAGAGAAAGCGGTTGTAGAACGTGAGCTGCACCATGTCCCCTCTTCCCCATGGAGGAAGTTTTTCCAAGTTTTTCAGAAGTCCTAAGCTGTCGGAGAGCACGAGTGCCCGAGAGTGGGACAGATCTGTGCTACCACGGGAATGGAGACTCTGCCAGTGTGGGATGCCTCAGGAATTGGGGTTGTCCTAGGAGAAGTTTCTTGTGCACAAGGTCCTCCACCATTGTCTTTAGTTTCCCTGTGGGTTATATGGTGGTCGTCTGAAGCGATGGCTTGGATAGGGCCCCCTCTCATGACGTTGCTAAGAGAAGGGAGGACTGGAAGATCATAGAATGATAGCAGGGATCCAGCTGGGGTTTACCGCTAGGAAGACAAAAAGGATAGAGGGAATATAAAAATAAAATGTAAAATTATTATTTTTCCTGGAGCAGCCTAGCAATAGGAGAAACTCCCTTTTGTGGCAGAGAGCTGCAAGGATGAAATGTCAGCTTAATATTAACAGCATAGCAACAAAACAAATTGTACAGAACTGTCCAATGAATGTGTAAAACCTGCCCAGAGAAACCATTTTTGGTGATGTCCAGGCTTGCCTAGCAGCCCACAGTCAGAGGAGTCAAGCTAGGTTGTCAAAGTTTCCCTCCTTTGAGCCCATTGTTAAGAAAGTGTATCAGGAGGAAAAAAATGACAATAGCAGCAAGCACCCCCCCCATGCCCTATAGAGAGCATGCCAGGATACAAAGAAGGGAATGAGTGATTTTCAGAGTTTATCCATCTGGAATATGAACTGGACGAACTATTCATAGTGAAGGACACATGCTCTGAAATTCACAGCTGGTATAATTTACTTGATGATACTTTTAACTGTATTATTCACCCAGCTGTTTGAATAATTTGTTTCACGTGCTTACTAGATACATATCACAAAATTCAGAAACTACTTTAGCAGAGAACAAAGCTTTTCCCCCATAATTTGACCTATTCAGTTTAGAACTAACTTTGAGAAAGTACAAATTGTTAATTTGGGAACATGCATTGCAGTGGAATAAAATAAAAGGGGAGGAGAGATGTTGAAGCACAATTATCCCTGATCATAATAAAAAGACAACACACCTGGGAAGGTCAGATCCTAGATCACGTTTTAGTTTCTAACCTACTCTGGCTACCGCAAATAACTTTTGCAGCATGGTGATTATGTTTTGGCTGTACCTAAGCAAAAGCGACTTCTGCAAACATCAGTGATAGCCTACATGCAGAAATAGGCATAAAAGGAGGTCCTCATAATCGCTTTAATTGGGGTGTTTGTTGTTGTTATGGGCAGCGTTTTTTGAAGCGTCATTGCACATGTTTGTTAATAAAAAAATTAAGTGTTAAAAAAACACAGGACCTTCATTTGAGCGTTTTGAAGAAAATCATATTCTTGAGCAGGTAACTACCTCGACTCCATTGTTTATATACCTTGCCTAATCTTACCTAATTAGGCTGGCCCCAAACAATCAGGATTATGATCGGCTTTCAGATAAGACAGTCTCCCAGAGTCCTTTCTCAATTGTCAGCAGTGACAGCTGATGGAGAGAATATTGCTTGTGTGGGTTTTCCTTACCTTGTTATCGTACATTATGATGGGCTAACGCATTACTGCAAGGGGAGCTGCGCTTGAAGTGGAAGAATGGTTGTGATTGCCAGAATGCTGATGCAAAGGCTTTCGTGGCCGTGTGTGCGTTCTGCAGCCGTTTCCCCAAACCCCCCAGGAGGAAGATCCTGAAAAACATGAGATGGAAATAGGGATGTAAAACAGATGTTGCTGCATTGACACCTCCTTGCAACAACAGACGTTGGGCAAGGTCCCACCACGATCTGAGCTTGGGCCCCCTGCTTTCCATGGAGCTCCTTGGCTGTGTAAGCACTCCGGGTGCTTCTGCACTGCAGTGTTTTCTGGGCAGTAAACGTATTTATGCGATGTTGTGAGAGCCTCTGTTTCTCCTACCTATGGGTACACACGTAACCCTTCCTTTCTCTTCCGTCCCACAGGACTTTTCACATATTTCATCTGAGTTTCCAAACAGCGTTGGACCCCGTTCACCTGGCGCATCAAATCCTCCAGGAAGCACTGACTGGGACAACGACTACCCTAGCAGAGAGTGTGGGATTAACCACTGCAGGCCAGTAGACAAAACAGAATATTGCTAATGCGCTTTCCATTGTCTGAACGCACGATCATCTGTAACTGAAGTTCAAGAAAAGATGGATGATAAAAACATGAAAATGTCATGCTATGAAAACAATTTGCATTTCTTTTTAATGTCAGGGTGCTCCATTTCTTCAGTAGCCTGAAAAGAATCACTTGAGTCACAGGCCTAGAGATAATTGGGCGTCACTCAGCCATTGCTGAGCTGCGGAAGCAATTTCTGCAGAGTTTTTTCAGCCTTCTCCAAGCCAAATTGATCAGCATCTTTTAACCAGAAAATATAGGAAACATAGTGTTTATAAATTGTTGGAAGTCTGACAGTTTACAGCAGCTGAGACCCTGCCCCTAAATCTACAGCAGGTTGATAGGTTAATTTTGGTAAATGAAGCTCAAGATTTCCTCTTCTCTTGTGGACTGGCTGAAATGATACTGTATAAGCAGGTAGTTTGAAAATCACAGATAATTTCTTCATTGGGCATGAAAGACTTTCCATTTGTTTGTGTTTCTGTCCCGTAAGCAAAGGAAGTTTGACATATTTCCTTCCAGAGCAGAACAGGGAAGCCTAGTCTGCTCCTGTTATGTGTGTTGGGCCCACTATGGCCATCATACAAAGAACTGAAAAAAAAATCCAAGTCCTGTGAGTTTCTGGTGCATCGAGCCCTGGAAATAAATGTTTTACAAATGCTTGCCAGATTGTCATGCTGGTCTGCAGCAGAGTCTGCTCTGTGCAGCCAGAATAGCTAGTTTGCTGGTCTGCTACTTGCTTGAGGAAATTAAACTTTACTTGTGACTGAAGAGCTCCACATTTTGTGGATGTGTGCTTAACATAGAGCATAGTCCCAGGAGACCGTGGGGGTTGAGGGAGTTCTGCTGTATCCATAAACAGTGTCCTTCTGTTTCTAAAATGATTGCCTTTTTTGCTGGGGCCAAGATTTCCTGTAATTGTCTCTAGCAGTGGATCCCTTATCCATTTTGGGGTTTAACCATGAGAGGGTACAAAGCCTCGTCCTCCCAAACACTGTGCCATGCTTCAGTCCTCTGCAGCTTGCAGGAAACGGCCACTGAAGCCTGCACAGATCTGTCCCCTCCTCTGACTTAAACGGGCCGGCATGAGGGTCACTTCAGTGATGCTCCACTTCCCTGATAAATGCAAAATGGTAGGATTGTCTCAGTCCCCAAAGTTGGGGAACAGTGAGGGAGTGAAAGTTATTCCAACCTCTGCCTAATCCACTGCTCTAGGCACCAGAGTTCAGCAATAATAGTTTTGAGAGTGCTATTGTGCTCTGTAAAATAGGCACGTGGCTTGCTCTGAGAGCAGGTAGGGAAGGAAGCTTGGTAGCTCTCTGAGTATTGTTTGATTTGCTTGAAGTGCAATGCTGTACTGGAACATTGGGCTTTCACTAGAGATAATAGCAAGCTCCCAGCCTTTTCAGAGTATAGCTCCCGTCTGTGCCAGCAGCGCACTTACAATTGCTGGGCTGGGCACAGACAGTACAGACATTTATTTCTTTGAGGGAAATAACTTGCCGAGCCATTAGAATACTCTCTGCTGTCTGCCGGTGCGAGGGTGCTCAGCTGCATGGATTGTTCGCGGTTCTGCAGGGAAACTTTGCAAGGTCCTTCTTGAAATCTCTGTGGACAACCCTAAAGAAGGAACCTGTTTAGCGCTTCTTAAGAAAAATCATTTTAGATGCTGTAGTCAAAATGCTAAATCCACTTGGAGTTTTAAGGCCCATAGACCCCAATTTCCAGAGGTGCTGGGCAGATGCAGCTGCTGTTGAAATTAGCCCACTGGAAATGAATATCAGTAGTTAGAGGATCAGCCATGGTCCTGCATCCTGGGTGCTCAGGGGCCCTGAACATCCCTGGATCCCAAAAGTGGTAGGTCCTTGGTTTAGATACCCAAATTTAATTAGGAAAATGTGAATATCTAGGTGCTGAAGCCAGGGTAACACTGTGACCCAAAAGAGCAGGTGCCAGGAAGGTCAGGGAAGCATCTTCTTTAAATGCAGGACGAGGCCTGAAACCAGGTGACAGCAACCCAGTCTCTCCACCCTGAGGACTGCTGTTCAGCATCGGGGCTGACTCCAAGGCAGGATGCTGGCACGGTCAGAGCACTGTTTGGAAAACACTCAGTTCCCTCTGCAAATCCCACTGGAGGCCAAACAGCACACAAGGCTCACAGAGGCTGGTCAAGCTCAGGAGACTGAGGGCACTCCAGAAACAGATGAAATGCTAATGCAGGCAGGATTGAGTTGTGTTGCTAAAACAAGCTCTTTAACATCCTGCTTGAAAGCTGTATTGTAAGCAGAGGACCCATGCAATTCATGATCAAAGCTCATGCATTTCATGCCTTTGTCACAGCGAAAATATCAAATTTCATGGGTTTATCACAGCTTCCTGGAAAAAATGATTTTAAGACCAGACAGATTATGCAGAGACTTCCAGATAATTATTAGAGTAGATTATACCAATGAACTCAGATGGGTATGGGTCAGTACTTCAGACAGTGCTTAGTACATCAAAAAATGTCCTACTCTCTGTTAAGGAAAGAGCTGATCTCCCATTACTTGAGAAACATGATCTGTTGGAAGCCTAACTCTCAAAGCTGACATATTAAGCTCAAGTTCTTGTTATATTGTAAAGCCTGGTGTGTCAGCAGTACCATCACCTCCAGCTCCTGCCAGCTCCTCATATTTGCTGCCTAAGTGCATCCTCTGCGTTGCTTGTAATGTCTGCACACATCTGTAGGACCAACCCTTTTCTCACTACTAAACTCCAGCCCCTGTTTGTCTCAAGGACTCAAGGGCAATAGCTGGCTCTTATCATTCTGCACATCTGTGCTGCCTCTCTAATAAATTTTGCACTAATTTGGATGCTACATTCCAAGTTATGCTTAGACTCCTCTGCACAACCTTGCTGTGATGTGAACATTTGGCTGTGCTTGGTTAGCTGTGTGCCTCAACAGCCTCGGCAATCAGCAAGGCTTAGGCAATGCAGCCTGGGTAATAAAGGGAATGCATATCTTGTTGGGTTTGATTCATCAGCACAGTTTTAGGTATAATCGGGAAATCTCTGGATCATGTAATTGCCCATTTCAACCTTAAAACTGCATTCAGCTTAATTGTAATTAAAGCAGCACTCTGAGGAGCAAAATCAGCAACTGTCTAGAAAGAAAAAGGTTTATCTTCTATTGTGATGTGGCTCAGCTGTAGAGTCCTAGATGCCTGAAAGAGAGGATCATACCAACCTCTGCAGCACAGAGGCATTCCT